TCGTTCAAATGCATATGTTATTATTAGGTCAGTTAAATGAGGAACAGAAACAACCGATTAACATAAATAAGAACAATTAAGCAGGAAAAAAGCGACGATCAGCGCTGGTGTTCGAACAACATCACGGTTTCGCAATGAGTCGTTTGAGGAAACATGTCTACCGGCACGGTCTTCTTCAACAAAAAAGGCTTCCCGCAGTACCTCTTTGAGCATCGTCGACAAAGGGCCATAAGGTTGTGCAACGCAGCGCGCAAGTCGCACGAAATATACACCAAGTACTGCATATTTTCGAAGCTGCGGATCGATGCGATGAGTTTGGCACTCAATCCGGCCCTCGGAGGATCTAACACGCCGACGCAAGTCTGAGATCCAAGGAGATGGAGGTCGTTGCCACGTTTCACGTCCTCAAACGCTTGTTCGGCATCGCCACATACGAAACGACAGTTCGATAGGCGATTGCCTTTAGCATTAGCGATCGCGTCCTCGACCGCAGCCTCAGTGCGTTCAATACCGACCACTCGGCCAAAGTGTTCGGCCAGAAATATGCCGATGGTTCCTGTTCCACAGCAAATGTCCAGCAGCAGCGCTGAATTGTGATCGGGTACGTATGAACAGCAGATGTCAAGAACTGTTTTGTACAAGACCGCACAGCCGGCACTGTTCGTCTGGAAAAATGACGTCGGCGATATCCGGAAACGGAACTTGTCTATGGTCTCGTACGCATATGGACACCCATCCAGGAGTTCGTAAGCCTGAGCATCGCTAGAGGCATTCTCTATTTCTTGCAAAAATAGTGACGTCAACCGATAATCTGGAGCCTGGTTCCTGAATAAGTTTGCTACCAACGAGGTCTTGATTGTGTCGATGTCCGAAGGCGACAGTTCCTTTGGGTTGATGGTGACAATGACCATAAAGTCTGACAAGAAACTGCGCACCGCAATTTGACGCCACACGCCGTTGCGCTGCTCGTTGCTGAACGGTGGCCAGGGAGATGCGGATACATAAGCCTTGAACGCACGCACGAACGCCTTCATCATGTCCGAAACATGAAGGCACCTGTCCGGAGGTTCAACTTCACAGCCGAACTTGAAACGGGATAAACGAAAGCCCACTTCCGGCTTTCCGTCTTTGTACCCAACGGTAAACTCACATTTGTTGCGATATCCAGTGATAACCGGCGAAGCAACGATCGATGATAGCGTGCCATAGTAACGACATCTAGGCAGCGCTTCGTCACAGACCTTTGCGATTTGAACGCTGTTTACGATCAAAGTCTCCAGGCATTTATCGTACTTCAGTTTTAGCTGTTTCTCATACGGGTAAGCATGCAACGGTGTCACCACGTCGTTGATGTCCTTAGGAGACGAATTTTCAATAATCCTTTTCGCCGGTCTAGCATCGGCAAAGCAAGACCGCTTCACTTTCAACTTACGCCCTTTGTAGTGGGCGTCTTTCAGCTTTGCGGCTGCAGAATCGGCATCACTCTTTTTAGCGAACGTCACGTACGCATGGTTCTTCAGAGTGATGACTTTTCGAGGCACAACGCTGAAACGTCGTAAACACAGCTTCATCTGTTTTACGCCAATAAAAGAGGGCAAATTATATATATGAAGTTCAGCAGGGCCGTCGCTGCTGCTTCGATCGGCCTCTGTACAAGACATCGAAACCTCCATTTCATTTGACTGACCGTCTTCCGTTTCAGCATCACACATTTCAAAGGAATAGACTATCAAACGCTCAGAGGTTGCACTTTACATGCAGGCTTACATGCAACAACCGCTATTAACAGTACTGATAAAATAGACATAACGCGTTGCGCATACGAGCATTTTACTGTAATTACCCGATGCTACATTCAAGTTATAAATGAATCTGCAATACGAAAAGACAACGAATTGAAAACTTCACTATATCGCGATTCAAATAATCCCGGTTTCCTCCGCAATCGAATTCATTCATTTTGAAGTGAATAAAATAAACACATGGACTTCCATTACAACGATGTAAATGTATTTAAAGTACGTTTAAAACGAGATCACCATAACGTCAGTTATTTGCTGAATAAATCGCTATGTGAAACATTAAGACCATCCAATTTATCTCCTGGCAAAACAGCTGTGCTAAACTTTCAACCTTATGTAAAAAAACATTCAAAATGAACATAAAACGGTCACAATCTAGACACTTAACTAGAACCTGTCATCCTATAAAAGGAAGTCGATTACTAAGAGTTGATTCTGACCATGAGTGGCTCTCCACTTTGCGACGAGAGATGGTTTGGGACTATGCTCCGAATTCAGAAGTGTTTGCACACTCTCTGAAACTGAACTAAAATTTTTTTTAAAAATAAAGGAAGTAATCTCATTTCTCATCTATCTCAAATCCCATCTCATTTCAATGCATTAAAATTCTCCATCTTCTTCACTGCAAACATCTATTGGTACAAAACATGATTCTGATTTCTTGTATATTTCATTTGTGATTCGGCAAAAAGCTACCTTTAGGGATATTTTGCAGCACATTGAAGCCATCATCAATTTGCTATGAATAATCTATAATGAATGCTTCTTTGTCAGAAGCAGAAAAGTGGAAGCACGAAAGAAGAGAATCTGGAATGTCAAGATTAATTGGTTCAATGCCAGTAACACTGAAAAAAGTTACGGATCTTAATAGACATGAGATATATTAAAAAATGACGTTCCAAAACTATGCGCTAATTAATATTTGTAAGCATCATCATCTATCGCTGCATCTCCTTTAGGGTAGCGGAGGCAGACATGTCAGACAGAGCTACCAACGTTACCGATCCTGTACCAGAGACTGAGATTCGGCAAAAACAAATAGAGTCTGGAACAGACTCCTTCTATATGTTTGCACCAGGTCAATCTTCGCCGTGCCCTGGGTTTTTGCCGGTCAGATTCAAAGAAACAGCTCCTTAGCCTCTCTTTCTGAAGGCATTGCCAAGACATAGCCATACCATCGGAGCTCTGACTTCTCATTCTAGAGAAGCCAGGGCTGTATACCAAGGCTCCTCCGGATATCAGAATTCCGAACCATGACGAGACGTGTAAAGCCAGCGACTCCTCTAAGAAAGCCCATCTCAGCAGCTTGCACCCGCGCTCCAAGATTTTCAGTGATCTTGCACGATTCACGACCGTAGGTAAGTACGGGGATAAAGATAGACTTGAATATCGAGAGCTTAGTTTTCACACTGAGCTCTGCTTTAGTCATAATGGGTCGGGCAGAACGCCACTGGCTACTCCAATTCGCCAGTCGAACCCCTCCTCCAATTTTCCATCACTAGCAAATACAGATCAGAAGTACTTGAACTTCTCCACTTGCCCCACTGCCTCTCCGTTAATT